GGGGGTTAGCTTACTTGTTTATAATTGTAGCAAAAAGAGACAGAACTTCAGATTCCCTAGCATCAGGCACATTCCTTGCATAGTCTCCTAAAACTGGGTCCATCATTGGCGGCACAAATTGTTTCCCGATGTGTGGTTGATCTTCAGCCTTGTCCAAAAATGTTTCAATAAGCTTTAATGTTTCCCTTTTTACCGAGCTGCCACACATCACATGTGTAAGAAGATGCATCTTAAGCTGGCAAGAAAAAGAAAAAAAAATGGAACTTACCGCAAGAGTTTCACAATGGATGTCCTTGAGGCATAGGGCCCTCCTTGTGCGATGCTTGTAGATATAAGCTCACTGTACATTCTGCAACAGAAAAGGTTCACAAAAAAATCACAAAAACCCAATAACTGTCGAAAAGTGGGAATATAACGGTACAGGTGACCACCTAAACACCAAATACATGCAATCAAATTATAACGAGACATCTAAATATTTTGAAAACAAAAATCAAATAAAGAAAAAGAAAGTATGATACCAATACCTATAAACATTGAGCATGTCCAAGAAGATCAGAGTAATTTGAGGTAAGAAATAAGTTCCAAGTGAGCTAGCAGCACTAGTATTTGTCTGCAAGGCAAAAGAAAATGCACCAGAACCTCATGCTCAGAATAGGCGGATTTTAATGCAAAAGGTATTGCTGAGTAGGATAACATTCTAAACAAAACAGGATACGAAGACTGATTGCCAAAACTCTGTGATCCCAGCACAAGCCACATGATTTGATTGACGTTTGAAGTAATAAACAAAGTTGTAAAATACTGATTTGCAAATAACATGCATGTCCAAATGCCTACTTTTTTTTGAGAAAACGGTAACTTTGTATTCATACAAAAAATTCATCACCCAAGAAATGATGAATTGGAAACTTACATCCCATAGTGTGATGGGTCCACCCCATGTCCAAATGCCTACTTAATTTAGTTTAAAAAGAAATATAAAAGGAATAGAGACTACTAATGAGAAACCTGCATCAGCAAGCCCAGATATAGTGTAGCTAGCTTGTGTAATAAATCCTAGTTAATATCCTCATAAAGACATGACAAACATACTACATTTTGCGACTACATAGTATTCAACAGAGAAACTCTTAACATGTGGTTAAACTTAAACTGGCATGCTTCAAGTCTAAATCACCAAAGTTAATACTCAATGATTTGAAAGCAAATTAGCCTCGAAATATTGTTATTTTTAAACTGGTAAAAGAGCCTTAAAATAATATTGTTTTTTAACTTAATATTAAAAGGAAAAAAAAACATCCTTGACATTTTGGTTTTATTAAATGATAAGACATTACAAAATGAAGCACAAAGTTTATGCCAAATTGCATGCAAATCAGTCACTTTACATCACAGTAAGAAGCTGAGGAAATCTAACATTCTATCTACTGTATTAACATCTTCTAGTCTACACCAAAAATCCAAAGACATACATTTCTATTTCAATATATGTATATTTTCACATTCTCTTTCAAAAATTGTTGATTTCTTTTCTTCCAAATAACCCGCTATATGCAGAAAGGACTGAAATGTTGTTTTTAAAACTGTTAAAGGGGCTTTGAAATATATAAAAAAAAAAAAAACTCAAACCAAAGGCCTAAATAGAAATAATAAGAAAACAATGCTTAACGAAAGTAAATAGGAGGTTCGAACTTGTAAACCTCTTCAAATTAAAGGAAAGGCTTACCGCTGGACCAAGAATGCATATCTGATAGGTGCTGATATTCGATATTATACTATGTTTATCTTCAAATATCATTTATCACCCAATACTTAATGAAATAATCTGAAGTAGCGGTGACGGATATAAAAGGTAACCTGCAATATATTTAGAACAGCTCGAATAACATCTTGATCTTTCAGGTAGTCCACACTTTGTCGTGCTTGTCCTATAATTTCATTCCATCTCTGTAAAAATTAAATGTTCATAAGCCACAATAATATGTAGTGTAAACTCCATGAGTAATCTTATGTGGCGCCTCCAATGAAGGCAAAAAAAGATATTAGTATGCAAAAACAGATGAATAAACAAACAAAGTGATGGATAGCATCTAAATACATCTAATCTAGACCATATGTCAGTAGTAGCCGCTTACCTGATTTGGAAGCTCCATCAACCTCTGCAGATACTCATCTCTTTTTTGGGGATCAGGTTCTGCTTGAATCATTTGACCAACCTAGTAAAAGGACACAGAAATCCTTTCAGCATAAAAGATTAAGTCCTATTCCTCAGTTTCCATTTTGAATCTTCTTAAGTTTGTTTTGAAAAGAAAAACACATTTCTATATTTTTGGAAAGTCTTCAACTTAACCATTCCATTTTACCCTTTAATGACTTTAAGAATGTTCCAAAAGTCTTTCATTTTTAAACTTAGTGCCCAGTCAAATACCGCCATATAGAACAAGGCAGAGGAAATTTAAAACATCTAAAGAAACAAGTAAAAAGAAATGAAATTTATTCACTAGAACAAAAAACTCTTACAGATTCGTAGAAGGTATGAATCTGATGAGGTTCTAAATCTGCAATGGTTGTGGGAAGAGTGGTTAAAAGTTCTGAAACAAATGGCTCATTTTCTCCAACCTGAGAACAAGACAGTAAACAGTACCAGATCAGTGTTCAGTCATTTTTTCACACTTTTATCTTCAGAAGAAACTGATGCTATTGACAAAATATTCTATTACCTGGACTACAACGAACTTGCGTTTGCATTTCTGAACAATTTTCAAAAACGTATCACAGGCCATATCCTAGAGAAAAGAGACAGAAGGTCCTCAGGAACAGGAATGACGGCACCACAATGAACAATAGCATATAAGCACAAGAAAATAGTTGATTGCAGTCCAGTGTTTTAGGCCATAACGTGAAACAAGTACTTGAACACTCAGTGTGCAAGTCATTTCATCACTTATTTGGAGACCCAATGCCAATAAACAAGGTAAGACCTGATTACTGATACCACATGGCATAATTCCATAGGACTCCACAATGAAATCACCAAATGATCACCAGTTTTATACGCCACAACAATTGGCAATAAGTGAACCAACCACTCAGCAACTAGAGGGCAAAGCAAAATCCGACAAGGATAAACAGTAAAACAGCAGCTGAAAGCTAAATCATTAAGAAGTAGTAACCTGCACTCCAGGATGTGTTTCATGCATGAACTCGAACAATTTGTTCACAACAGTCTTCAAGAACTTCCAATGAGCTCTCAAAAATCTAGGATATTGCCCAACAACATACCTGGCAGTTGATCAAAACAAGTTGTGACAACATTTCTTAATTGAAAGAATACAGAGTAGCTGTATGCCATACACCATCTATAAAAATTAGTAAAAACAGCATTCTGGAGAAGATTAAATTTGTGATTTTTTGAGAGAGGTAATTGTAAAACAATGAATAATGTCGAATTAGATGCACTGAAAAACTTCTGGCAAAGAAAATAAAAACTGGCAAACGACAATGACATCACATCCATACATTATATTGCTTGCAATTACGGCCTTGTTGTCTTTTCCTTTCGTGATTTCACATAGGTTAAGCAAATCGCGTATCACCATGACAAGGAATCTGTTCTCCTGCCAAAGTGAACACAAGGAAAAATGTGAAAAATCAAGATCTTAGCATTCAAATGATAGAAAAATTTGGTAGTATTGTTCAGTTTACAGCAAGAAAATACAGATGCACATAGAAAACTTCAGTAAAAATGACAGCATGAAACAGCAGTTAGGATGTTCTCTTGAATCTTGAAAGCAAAAAGTTGCACAACCAAACTAATATAAGCAAAATACCTGCTCTTCCACCATCGACCCAGATATGGAACCAATTGCCCAACATAATGTATTTAGATTGTTCCACGACCAGTCCTCGCCATTGAGTTGGTTGCTAAGTTTCTTCAGCATCTGAGTGATACACGAATATGAAATCTTAATGAACCTCGAAAATTACCAATTGTCCACCATGAAACATTTTTGCCCGAAACACCGTGTCAAAGAAAAGAAATAGTAGCTAACAGCACTTGGAACAAAATCAACAAACTTCAATCGCAAGTAAAGGTTAATCAAGCCAAAAGCAATTAGCAACAGCACTTGGAAGTAGGTTGAAGATAAATAAATGAACAGCTTAACTATAACTAGGTCGTTGGAAGCCTGGAATATAAGACAAGTTGCAATTAACCAAAAGGCAATAGAAATTGCTAAGACCTCCTATATACTGTAGTTTGCAAATAAGGATAGAATCGTCATCTCGACTAATTCTTCAGCAGATCAGGGATTTATGCATTTAAGAGCTCTCCAGCAATTAGCCATAAAATCACCATAATTGAGAAACCCAAACCATCTATTTCTAGAGTAAACTCTTTGATGCTAATTAGCCATCCAGAAAAGTACGATATGAAAATTCAGAACCGATACGAGCTTAAAGAACATTTAGCATGCTACTTCAACTACATTTATTCAAGTCACAACAAATTTGATGGCTTTAAAGGAAGTGTACCTGCTTTTCAGTATCGTCATGATCAAGATGTGACAAGTAGATCAGAGTTTCCCTCATGATCTGCAAAATTTAACATCATCAAACACGTAAAAAGAGGACCCAACATTGCAAAACAAGAATCAGGCAAAATGCATTCCGTCAAATATAGCATGCATCTCTTAAATTTACTCCAACCCAACAAGATCCAAAGAATGTCCATCATATTCAACAGGTTATTCTGTAAGAACTAACAAGATAGATACCTTGTATTGCACAAGGACGTCATTGTCCTTCATTGTTTCACGGACAATGTTTCCATTTTCATCTTCGACAATGAGAACTTCTTCAGGTTTTGCCATGCGAGATATCATAAGTAACCTCAACTTTGACATTGGACCAGAATAAAGTTGTCTCCTCTGCATAAGTTGCGCTCCAAGACCATCATTCATGCCAGAAAGCAGTGGCATCTGCTTAATTAACACAAAAGACTTGCACATGAGCAGTTTGGTTTTTGGAGAGTTCTAGGCAAAAAGGATCCAGGTGCCTTGTCATACCTGAAGCCCCATCAGGTTTGCAGTCATTGCAGGATTATCAAGATTATGATGTGCTGCTTCAAACAGCTCAAGAACTAAGGAATTCCAGTAGTCCAAGCAAACCTGCCAAACCACACCTTAGCAATCACACACACTACCAAGAAAGTTTTTGAATCACAAATAAACAGTGGTGCAATACCTTAAAAACCTCTGTATCATCCACATACGAGATATTAATAACGTACTCAAGCCCCAACAAGAGGGCACTTATATTCTCTTGTGATGATTCTAGCACACGTATATGAGACTGCATACAAAGTAGCTTGTAAGAGACAATGCTGACTACTACATTCCAAAATCATATTGCCAATACACAACTTCAAAGTGAATGTTCTCATGTCGTAAACACAAAGTAAAGAAGCTTGCCTTAAAAAATGATGTAAAAAACAGAGCCAGATTCTGAATGAATGCCTGGATAAAGGAAAGAAAAACATCAGTTTACAAGTGAATACAACCGTTAACTAACAATTCACTGTCTCAAACAAACCTGCTCTTCGTTGCTTCCATTTGCATACGCCTCTGGAATGTTTGTATTAACTGGAAGAACACTCTATACATGTGAAGAAAAACCATCAGATAATGAGCACAATAGCACAACCATAACTAGCCAAACATTAAGGTATAACTAAACAGCCTATATCAACAACACTAACACCTAGAATGGCGGATGAATCAAGTTCAACTGCAAGTTCGGGAATTTTGATTAAGCGACTGAGTCTACAGCAAATTTCCAACTTAGGTATCACAATAACTCTATCCTTCGGTAAATTGAACGTGATGTTTTACTAAATCCATATAGAAAAGCAAACTCAAACACATCATAGCATCTTCTAAAGGACAAAGTTGACACAGACAAAAGTATCTAGACAAGACTAGAATGAGCAATTTAAAGAGGGCCTTCATTCTGTCAACAATAGAACAATAACCTAGTCAAATAAGTTGTACCACCTTTGCTTTAACCATTGTCCTAGAAAAGTACTGAGGGATCGTTTGGTGCGAGGGATAAAAATAAATAGTCATGGGATAAGAAAATAGTGATGGGATAAAAAATTTGTGTCTTGTTTGGTTGCCATGTTTGGGATAACTTATCCCACCATTTATACCATAGTGATGGGATAAGTTATCCCAGGATAGCTAATCCCAAGATAGATAACTAATCCTGGGATAACTTGTTCCCAACCAAACGACCCCTAAAAGTTTCACATAACTCCTACTTAGATTATACAACGTTTGCGATAAGTGATGGTAACACAGCTGTTCCGAGACAGACCGGTATACAAATGTTATACATATTAGTAAACAAACCTAGACAATGATATGGTTCACGGCGGACAACACCAAACTATTCAACTTCCCCATGTAATATATCAATATTGTCCACTATTATCAGACCAAATTTCCTCTTTGCAGTATGTCAGTGATAGAATGTCCTTCACAAAGGTTTTCATAAGACTAGCATTCACCTTTAGAATATTCAAATTTATAAATTAAAAAAAGACTATCTATTCATTCGGCACAAGGTCAACTAGCAACCCTCTAAAGTCCGTGGGAAAAATTAAACAACAGATATATTGGTCTACAGTGCTAAAGAAAATAGAAGGCATTCACAAAGGGTGTGGTTGATACACAAATAAGGAGAAAAAGACACTTCCTGTCATCAATTCATACAACTATTCAAAATTTGACACACAGAGAAGCTTATGTAATTCTTCTAATAACTTGTACCAATGTCAAGACCAAGCAACCAATTCTAGGGAAAAACTCTCTTAAGGCTCAATTGAAAAACAAAGAGAAGGGTTGGCTAGATTCGGAGTAAAACCAAATAGCCTTACCCTGCTCAAAAATACAAATCCACTGTTAACTGTCACAAAGTTGACAGAGAAACTAAATACAGCTATACAACGATTAACCATAGACTGATTCCATCTATGATCTATGGTACACTCTTGAACCAATTAAATAAGAACAAAGCAACATCAAGGATTACTTAGCTCACCTGCAACTGCCCCATGAATATGGTGTACATCTTGACATACTGTTCGTTATAAAAATCCCCAAAATTAAGGGCAGCAACCTGCATATTAACACAGAAACCAAAAAGTATACTGAATAACTACGGATCAATTTTACTGTTAAAACAAACTCTAGTAGAGATCTTGTCATTATATACCTCTGTTAGACACTGAAGTGTGAGATTGCGATAAGATGGCATGGGGAAAAATTTAAGCAATATTTCCAACTGTAATATGAAAAGACACAAGTCAGGCAGCACTCCTCAAACACATCTGTATTAAGACAGCAAATTGTAGAACATGCTTCAATTAAAAAGATAAATGATAAGCAACCGAGAAATACAAACCAGTGTTGATTCAAAAATATAGCCAAGCGGAATCCATGAAAGGAAAGCATGAAGTGTAGCAAGCGTAGCCCTGATGAGCTCAGTTCTGTGGGATACTGATAGCACATACAAGCATAGCTCATGGATGAGTTGAAACTCGCTGTAAACAAAGGAACCAATGTCTTAGAAAGAGAAGTCTTAATTTATAAAAGGAAAGGAAGATATCTGACCATAATTCAAATGTGTGTAAAGATTATATTAGAAGACCCTCTTCTTTGAAATTATATAAGGAGCTCTACAATCCATACGGTGTATAGAATCTTTTAATTCTCAAGTCAAAACCGCCTGTTTCACCCAAGCATAGTAGAAATAACCAGGTTTTAATCACATTCAGTGCTTCAAAAATATAAAAAAAAAATTAAAACAGCAGGAAAGAACAAGTCGTAAGTGTCTTAAATAAAAGGCCAGTTCAAGCCAAAAGAATAAAATACTCAAACAGAAAAACAAAAAGCTACACAAGCTCATGCATTTATCTGAAAGGAAGAGAACCAAATAAATTTATGTAAATAATCTTTCTTTCATAGAATGGAAAAGTATTTTCTACTGAGCCACAAAAAGTCTGGAAAAGTATTTTCTACTGAGCCACAAAGTTTCACCAAAACAGTGATAACTCTTTACATACTATTTTCTTTTTTACTTTAGAGAACTCTTCAGTCTTCACCTCCTATTTTCTCTGGCAACCAACCAAAGGGAAGTTCCAACAGTTCGGATTTCTCTACCATTACCCTATTTCTACTTAGTTCCTTCTCATCTATTTTGCCGATTTTCAAAATGGTAAATGGTTTCTAGACTCTACTCAACATCAGTATGTCAAAGCCAATATTTGAGGTTATCCCATATATCAAACAATCCTATGTGGAAAAAATCCTAAGTTAAAAATTAAACCAAAAAGAAACTCATACAGATATGGAATTGTACCTGTTTAAAGATTGTTTGAGCTCCTTGATCTTTTGTTGAGTCATTTCACCCCTTGAGAAATCGAAAACCTCCTCGCTTAGAAGCTGAAGATAGTAGTTTCAAGTTATCAAGGTGTACTTGATTCTAATGTTTTCATTGGAAGATGGAAATGAAGATGTAGAGAAATCTACCTTCAATATCGCCATGCAGTTTTCACATATTGTTTCGCTTGTCTTTGCAGCCGCAACTAAGTCAGGAATGAAGCTTCGCCATCTTGCAGGCCACTCGTGCTTCAAAATCTGAAAATATAAATGCCAAGAAAAAAATGAATTCTGGAAGACCCTTCAACTTCATGTCAACTTCATGTGTAACTAACACGAGTCACAATCAATGATAATGAGGGTGCTGTGTGTGTGGCTCAGTCTACGTGTGTGTTCCTTTTTGATAAAGAGAGTGTTGTAGGTATTAAGAGTACCTGAACCAAAATTATGTTAAGCTTGCTAATATACAGCCTTTCCCGCCGGAGAGATGCTTCATCACTGGAAAGCTGAGCTCAATATAGGGATAAGCATAAATGACTCGGTTAATAAAATCCATGGAAACAGAAATTAAATTCAAGGTCCAAAAAAGTTGAAGAGAAATAACAAGAAATGTGTAGTTGTACCTTCACAATAACTTCAGAAATATAGTTTTTCATTCCATCTCGTTGTTCGACAGGCAATGCATTCCATCTATACTTTATTACACCTTCTAGAACCTGCAGGGTGAAGACAGTTAAATATCTTACTCAGCTTTCTGCCATATATAACTAAACTAGAAGTCCCAAACAAACATAGAAAAAGAACTGAAACAAAACAACAGTTCTTTTTTTTTTAACAGTTGCACAATAAACACCACCTGACAGCATCTCTATCTTGTTACTACCTCAGTTTCAAATTGATTGTCAAGTTGCTTTGGCACAGAGTTTACGAAAGTAAAGAAGATTTTTGAATCTTGTGCTCATAAACTAAAAGACATTTTGATACAGACTAAAGATATGTTGAATGTATCAAAATGTCTTTTAGTTTTGTAGTCTTAAAAGTGCCAAGTGAAAAGTTGAAATTCAAAGTTACCAAAAAGGGAAAGAGGCATTCTTTTTCAACGGACTAAAAGGGAAAGTAGGACAAACAAATCGAAACAGAGTTAAGTAGTTGTTAATACTCAAGACACAACTTTAGCATTCTGCTCCACATTATTTTCCAAAAAAACAAATTACTCAATTTAAACTTCCCAATTTTCAAAAAAGTTTCTATTTGGGTTGTCATCCCTCCCGCCTTATCTCCACAGTCCAAAAATAATTCTTGAACTTCACGCACAGCTTAAATAGTGATAATTTCATACTCCCTTCGACTCAATTTATATGACACGCTTTCCTTTTTAGTCAGTCCAAAAAGAATGACACATTTCCTTATTTGACAAAGATTTAATGACACTAACAAGATTTTACCCATATTGGGTCCTGCTTATACGGCAAAAAGTCCATAAAAATGTGCTTTTCAAGGGTAATTTTGAAACATTGCCTAGTCTTTCCATATTTCTTAAGCTCGGTGTCCAGTCAAACTACATCCCATAAGTGGGGACGGACTACGGAGGGAGTACGTGAATTACTTTTTTCACTTGCATCAGTCAAAGTTCACCCTTACCAAAGAAAACATTAATCACAGTTAAACAGTTCTGTTTAAAGCAATCTCAATCCTAGTTAAACACTGATACTAAAAATAAAAACACTAATCACAGTATAACAGTTAAACAATCTCAACCACATTTAAACACTGATACTTAAATTGAATAAAAGAGTCATAGCTGCAAGTTCAACATCACAAAGTACTGTAAAACTGACCTGCAAAGCGAAAAACTTAGTATTCAGGCTTTGTGTGCTCGATAGAATGTGAACCACTTGAAGCCACATATCTGGGTTATTTTGCAAATCGCGCAAAATATGGTCCGCTGCAGCTCTCTGCAAAGCAATACATATAGTATATGATTAACATAAGAACAGTGGAAATGTTTCCAAAGCTAGGCCTGACTGTTCAACAGAGGAATCAGCAGCAGTGATAACATAGCAAACCAATTGACAAGCTGTATATATGATCCTTCAGGGCTAAGCCATATTTTGGTTATTCTCTACAGTTGTTCATCATAATTGTTCCTTTTATCCCCAAAAAGTTTAATCTGTAATCTACATATTTAATTTGGAACAACAAACACTTTTTTTTATGACAAGGGAAACCCACCGCCACTACCTTTGAGTGCGCATAGGTAAAACCCCTACTCCTATGCAATACACAAACCAAACAAAAGAGGTAACCCGCACTAGGCAAGCCCGGAAAAACAACAACAAACACTTGAGATTTATTTTCTTCCGAGTCTAGCAGGAAATTGAGGGGTCCTCATAAATATCTGGTGGCCAAATATAAACAGATGCAAAACAGCAAAAGTCACATTAAATGCCAGATGGAAGTTTATAACACTTACCACTACCATTATTATTACTATTATTATTATTATTATATTATATTATTATTATTATTGTAATCCAGATGGAAGTTTCTATGGCTTATCACTATCACTGTTATTATTATAATCCAGATGGAAGTTTCTATTGCTTTACGCTGTCATTAATGTTACTGTAATCCAGATGGAAGTTTCTAGCTTTCAGCTACCATTATTGTTATTGTAATCCAGATGGAAGGTGTATCTCACTTATCTTTATCACTATTGTTATTGCAAACCAGGTGGAAGTTTCTATCGCCTACCGATACCATTGTTATTGTAATCCAGATGGAAGTTTCTATTGCTCTCACTATCACTATTATTATTGTAATCAAGATGGAAGTTTCTATCGCTTATCACTATTGTAATCCAGATGGAAGTTCATATTGCTTACCACCATCCCTATTGCTATGGTAATCAAGTCTTTGAAATATTATTGTGACTTGGCTAGCAATGAGAACAAAGATTTTGCGAGTTCCACTCCTCAAACTGAATCCTCTCGTGTATGAAACTGAATTGTTATTCACAGAATCACACTAACACTCATAAAAGATTTTTGCCTTTTTTAAAAATAAAAAAAATCTGATGCTTACTAATTCACAGAATATAGACCCTGTTATTCAATTGGTGGAACTACAGCTGTATAAAGCATTCAAGTGAGCCTTATAGAAAGCAAAAGGCAATAGACATCTTTTTTTTAAAGTGTTCTAGCAGCAACAAGCCATTGTACACCGACAGGATAACTAGTGCTATACTAGAGAACTGCTGAGTTAATTGTATAAGTACGAAAAAGGATGTACAGAGATGCCTTGCGTTTTTCTTTATACACGTAGCAGGTTTGAGAATCCTTCTAGTATGCCACTATCTACTTATCTTTATAATAACGAGATTAAAATGTGGGATACCACAGAGAAAGAACTGCCTACATCCAAAGCCTTCATTTTTTTCATATGTAGGTGAGGACTTTTCCCCCTTCTCATGCAGATTTCTCTAACTCTTTCCTTTTCTTTAAACCTGGGGTGAGGGTCAAAACAACTGTAACATTGTACATTCCAAGCATCTGAAACTACGAATCCTTAGGAATTGAACAAAGACAACAAACATTAGTCAATGTCTTGGTGACACCAACGAGTTCAGCAAAAATTACAGGAATGGTTGTCCATAAGCAATATAAATTCTTCAAATTCCCAAAAGGAAGTGACGCTTCCTTGTAACCTACAACAAACCTAATGTTGCACTTATTTTAAGTGCTTTTAACCACATTTGGAAAATTAATTTAATCTAAAAGGATAAAAACAACACAAAAGCCGCTATGACTAAGTAAAAAACTAAAAGCCAGTCCAAACAGAGCTCTTACAGCGCAACAAAAAAGTAAAAAAAAATAAAAATTGCATCCTCTACATAGAAAGAACGACGCCATTCTACTCAACTAAACACCAGCAATCAAAAAAGTTAAAGTCATTCCAAGCCATCGAAAACGAAAAACAGAAAATTTAACCAGCAATTGTCAGATAAACCAGATAAATTGAACAAATGAAGAGCAACAGCAAAAATGCTCTCACCTCTTCCTTAGATCCGGTGCCATAGAAAGCAGCAACAGTAGCGTCAAGCAACGAAACATCAATGGGCTGGCTCAAATCTCTCAGCTTCTCCGCCGCCATGGTGAGAACGGACGAACGAACAGAGTGATAAACCCTAGAAGTAATCACAAGCAAAGCAGTAAAACCCTAGAAACGAGAATGAAAACCCTAAGCAAAGAAAAAGTGAGCGCCTCAATTGTTAAAAAGGTGTTTTCAAAGATGTGGATTTTGTAAAAAACATGAGTTTCTAGAAAGAGGCCAAAAGGGGAGAAAACATAAACAGAGAGACAGCTTCAATTTGACGCAGAAAGAGTATATAGAGAAATAATAGGAGAGTAAATATATATACTACTATTACTAAAGAGGGATTTGGGGAAGTTAATTTTCAAGCGCTTTTCCCTCCTCTCTTTTCATTTTTTGTTTTTTGTTTTTTGTTTTTTTTGTAATTAGTGTGGGTGAGAGGAGTGTTTTTCGTCTGTATTTTTATATAATTTTTTGTTTTGGTTATATTTTGATCCGAGATTTGTCGGCAACCGCCATTTTATTTAGCAGAGCTTAGGTCTGTGTAAATTCTATGTTCCACGGATTTTACTGTGTGGAATTAGAGTAAATATTGTAATTTTTGGTTGTCGTTATTTGAAGGATTAGTGAAACATGAGTGTTGTGACTGGATTGAGCGTTGCAGTGCTATCTTCTTCTTTTTTTCGTCTGTGTTTTATGATGAAGTTTGATTAATTTGAACTTGTGTATTATCAAGCTCATTTCTGAAGGTGACGATGTCAACATATTTTTTTTCGTATTCATATTTAATTTAGTATAACGTATGCTTTGAAAGAAGCGTGTACAATTCGGAAAGAGTTTTAATTGATCAAAAGAAGAATATACTTCGATTGAGCCAAGGTTTTGGAAGAAGATTGTATTTTTTTTCTTTTTGATTTTATCCTGAGATGAGGTTTATCGAAAATTGTCATTTTACTTTTGAGGTAGAGCTTAGGTTTGCATACATTTAATTTTCCTTCAATTTCATCGTGTGAAATTATACTGGATATGTCATTGTTGTTATTTTTTCATACGAGGTTAATGAAACATGGATGTTGCGACTGTTTTGAGTGTTGTTGTATTACTTCTTTTTTTGCCCGGTGTTTGACATTTATAGTGAATTGAGTAATTTGAATTCGCGCATTATCAAGCTTATTTCTGGTGGCGATGATGTCAACACAAAAAAATTGTATTCGCTTTTTTAATCTAGAAAGACATGCTTTGGAAGAAGCTTGTACTTGGGAGGGGTTTTTGATTGATCAAACGACGAATTTACTTCAATTTATAAGCACTTGGGCACAGTCATACATAACATAGAAACTACTTTGAAATAATGGATAACTTTAGCTAGAATAATGGGGCTGCAGCGAAACTCTAGAAGAGGATAAATCGGCCACATTAAAGTTACCTTCTCGAAAAATTCGTTTGATATTCAAAAATTGCTAAACAACAGTCAGACAAATTTGTTGAGACTATACCGGCAGCTAAAAGGAACAAGAGCACAATCCTTAATCCAATGACCTTAAGAAGAGGGCCACTAGCGGGAATAGTTAATTCACACAGGGGCTTATCCGAAATAGCTTGGTTCACTTACTGTGTAAGATTATATGTTTCTAGAAATTTGATAACTTGAATCCTGGTGCTTGATACTCTGGCTCAAAAAAACTCTCGTAGTTGTATAATGGGCCAAAAATTGAGGGATCAAGTATAGAGCTGTGAAGAAGCAAGTTTATCCCTGCCCCGACCAGCAGTTGCTAGGTTTTTTCATCTCTCCTAAACTTTTTTCGATCTTCGGTCCGAGCTGTATAAGGCAAAAACTCACCGTACATATGGTTTGGAGGTCGAGCCTCACCCCAGCAATAAGGGTGTGGCTTAGGTTAACTAACACAAAAAAGATACAGTACACTCGACGATTGCCTTTCGATTCCGAACTCCATATTGAAAAGGAGCGTTGTTGTTTGCGAGGTCTTAATCATATGGACCTACTTTTCATTCCATTTGTGGGAATACATAGAGTCGAATTAAACGTTGAAAATTTTAATTAAGAATGGAGGAATATCAATCATTTTACCATCGCTCATGTTAGTATGTTCCTAACTTTTGATACATGAAACGGGGAAAAGTAGAGGTTTTGCTTCACTATTTTTTTGTTTTTTTTAATTGATTATGATTTGTATTTATCAAATTCATTGCTCAAATGATAAAGACGTAACAAAATTTGGATATTGAATGTGGTATTTATTATCGCTTAAATGTTGCAATGTCGCATCCCTTTTTTCGTCTGATATTTGACTTTCATGTCAAAATCTAATTAATCTGAATCCGTGTATTTTTGGACATGAACGTTAATGGACACGGGAATAGAGCAAGTGAAACGTGTCGTTCGTAATGGAAGAAAAGATATCACCTATCAATTCATTTTTGGAGGCGATGCTATTAACATAAATTTATTCATACTCAAAATTATTTTAGAAAGATGTATGTGTTGGAATAAGCTTAAATAGTTTGGAAACAATTTTGATTGTTAAAAATAATAATCTATTTCAACGGATAAAGACACGCGGACATACATAACATAAAATTACACTTTGAAAGGGTAGACAAATAGCTAGAGCAACGGGCTCTATAGCGAACAGGATTACAAAAAAAGGAAAAATAGACCATACTATAATTGTCTTCTCAGGAGGTATGTTTGATATCTAAAAACTGCTAAGCAATTGTTGGACAAGTGGACAATGTTGGGTGAACCATTTTTTTTTAATAAAGTCTGATCTAAATGTTGACTAGATAAACATTGAAACTTCTAACTAGGGATAGAAAAACACCAATCGTCTTACTATAATCTATATTAGTATCTCTTGATAATACATATACTAGATAACCATATTTCTCTAGATTTGATCGTGTAAAGATAAACTATTTCGTTTTTTTTTTTACCTTTGAAATTAAACAAAATGTTCCTTAGCTTACTTCGTTGGCAAATATATGACATTATTAAGTGGCAACTAACATAGTTATCTTTCTTTATTTTCTCAAAATGAAAATTCACTTGTCATTCGTCATTTCAGACCAATAATTATTTTAATCAATATTGTGAATTTTTTGACGTTAACTTCTAATTTGCCAGTTATGTTTGTTCATGTGAATTTAATTAATTTCATTTTTTATTTTAATAATTATGATGTCTTTGTCAGCTTGTGTTTATCAATTAATTACACATGATATGTATTACCTCTCATTAATACGAGTATCAAATAATTCTATTCGGCAAAGATCATTTATAAGAGAAAAATCATCTGATACTTTTACCTCAGTTGAATTTAAACATGAAAATATCTGATTCTCAGTCTATTAACTTATTACTAAGTCACACTCGAAAGTTTTATGTAATAACATTGCCTTTCTTTATTTTAAATGCTTTTAAGTCAGAATAAAAATAAATTAAAGTTCTAAAAGAAAATTTAAAGTGGATAAAATTGAGAGAACAAATAAATTACATGTTTTATTGCATTAAATAGTCACACTCGAAAGTTTTATGTAATAATATTGTCTTTCTTTATTTTAAATGTTTTTAAGTCGGAATAAAAATAAATTCAAATTCTAAAAGAAAATTTAAAGTGGATAAAAATTGAGAGAACAAATAAATTACATGTTCTTTGCATTAAATCGCCAATATGCAACTTCACATTTGAAACATTGATTCATAATTATAGACCTGTCTTGTAATTATATTTTTTAAAAAGTCTTATAATTATGCTAATGAGAGAAAACCTTGGGACTCTTTGTAAATATTTTTTTTAACCATATTTTAGCTTTCCTTAATTTTTAAAATATACCTTTTTCTTACCATATATTTTAGGACTCCTTAATTATTCATTTTTCTGATGCCTTTGTTCATATATTCTCCTTTTATCATATATTTTGGGAATTAATTATTAATTTTCCTAATATATCTATCATATCTTAATAATCAAATTTCCTAATACCTCTTATCATATTTTTTCTCTTATTATATATTTTAGGACTCCTTAATTATTAATTTTCCTATTATATCCACCATATAATTTAATTATAATTTTTCCTAATATTCTACCATATATTTTAATTATTCATTTTCCCAATACCTCTTATCATATATTTCAGGACTCCTTAATTACTAATTTTCCTAATATACCATATATATTAATTATAATTTTTTCTAATACTTCTTATCGTATATTTTCCTCTTATCGTATATTTTAGAACTCCCTAATTATTAATTTTCCTAATATACCATATATCTTAATTATAAATTTTCCTAATACCTCTTATCATATATTTTCCTCTTATCATATATTTTAGAACTCCATAATTATTAATTTTCCTAATATACCATATATCTTAATTATAAATTTTCCTAATACCTCTTATCATATATTTTCCTCTTATCATATATTTTAGAACTCCATAATTATTAATTTTCCTGATATATCTACCATATTTTTTAGGACTCCCTAATTATCATTTTTCCTAATATATCTACTATGTATTTTAGGACTCCTTAATTCTAAATACTACAGAGATAATAAATTAGTAATTTGAGGAAAATAGTAAATAACAATTTTATCTATTGTAGATATTTTAATGAATGGCAAAAAGTCAGTCAACATTTCTAAGGAGCTTCATACATCTAATATAGTATCGATATATATAAAACATATAATTTAAAATATTTGTTGATTTTTAAACTAATAATAAAAATATTCTTATTATTATGAAGGTTTGTCATTTCAAAATTTTAATTAGATATATGGGAATTGAATTCAAACATACGGTGCAAATCGGTATTGAATTTTGAAGGTATTTAACTAAGTTTATAAGCTAATGGGGCAAATGATCAAATATACCCCTGTACTATAGGAATTAGTTGAAATATACCTCTCATTATACTTTCGATTCAAATATACCCCTTCCGTTATACTTTGACACATATATACCCCTAATTTTAACAGAGGGACACATGTCAACTTAGGAATCAAATAACTCACACCCCCAATTTTAAA